GACTAGAGGAACAAATAATAATAAAGTCCGTTTATATTAAATCCATCTCTCCTTGACTTGAACCCTCATAAGACAGAGACTTTACAAAAGTCATAGACGACTGTGTACTCGTTGTGCATGAGATATTTGTGAAGGAGACTTAAAAGTTGTCTAGTATAGAGGCTGGAGCTCATCTGGTTGTGTTTCTTGACTCTAGTTTGAGGTGTTGGTCAGTGTGACGTCTGTATTATTGTGAATGTCGATAAGGCGGCAGCACATTGTTGAATGGTCATCAAGGACAGTGCATTGTAGGAAACAGCTGTGAGGGATGATACAACTTATCGTGACAGATGAGCTTTACACCCGAGTTATCGTATTTCGCTCATCTCACAAGTAGTTAGCCATGGTAGATTAACCCTATGATTGCCTTCTGGTCACTTTGTTACTGCATGTTGCTAATTATTATTATAATGCACACTTACATGCTCTTTTTCTGACCGTCTACTGACCTTCCTGTGTCTGCAGAAAGACTAGTTGACCTGTATTCCACCTCAAAGTGCCTCACCGAGTTGCTAAATTTATCAGCTCAAATAGACGTCTTTAATGACCTTGGCTGCAACCGGATTTCTTTACTGGTCAACTCGACATTTAGCAGCGTCAGGGCTGCCAAAAACGTGTATCGCAGGCAGCCTCGGGACTCCATGCCTCTCATACCCTAACATATCATCGTCATGTGAAATTCAAGCTCCTGCCAGAATTCAAACCCCCTCTGGACCCCAAAGAGGAGCTGCTGTTTGTAGTGCCTGATCAAAAGCTTGTCACATTATCCTGTTGATGATGCTGATTATTCAAATATAGGCATAACTGAATAATACCTCAGTGAGGATAACATGTACATTGAGTTTTAAATGGGGGGGGGGGGGGGGGGGGGGGGGTTATTTGGAAAGGTTTGTTTTGGGACTGTACATTATCCATTTTTTATCTGGGTTTTTAATTGAATGTAATGTTTTTTTTATTTTTTATTTAATGCTAAAATAATAAGAAACGATTTTTAAATTTGATATTTTAGATTTTCTGATTATATATAAAATCAGTTCATATATATACAGTATATATATATATATATATATGTTTAAAATGTGTATCTATAATATAATTTACTATAATTTAAGATGTGATATTTTGAATTTTTTGTAACACACACACAAACATATATGCACTAAAATGTTTATGAAATAAAAAGAAATTTGTATGCATTTGTTATATATTTTATTATGTAGATTTTATAATATAAATACATTTATATTGCATTGATAAAAAACTTCAAAACAAGAAATGTGGGTTTAATGTTTTTAATAAAAAGTCTCTTCTGCTTACCAAGGCTGCATTTATTTGATAAAAAAATACAGTAAAAACTGTAATATTGTGAAATATTATTACAGTTAAAAATAGACATTTTCTATTTGAATATATTTTAAAGTGTAAATTATTCCTGTGATGCAAAGCTGAATTTTCTGCATCATTACTCCAGTCTTCAGTGTCACATGATCCTTCAGAAATCATTCTAATATGCTGATTTTCTGTTCAAGAAAAATGTATTAATATTATCGATGTTTTTTTCAGGATTAGAAAGTTCAAAAGAGCAGCATTTATTTGAAATCTTAACCAGTATTAACAGTTGGGATGTTTAATGATCACATAAATCACCATCGTATGATTTCATTCTAATCAGGCACAGAATATTTAAAAAAAGTTTCCTTGCTGCTTTGACTCATTATGTTGCTAGTAGTATTACATTTTAATAGTGCTGGACTATAATCTCAAGTCTGCATCAGTCTCATTTGGAAATGGCCTGGACTCAAGACTTTCCTCAATTATCAGGCCGTAAACGAACACACTCGTACAGTTCTTCACGAGAGCTTCTGGCTTCCCTCGCAGACGGTTGTTGTTGTGAGCGGTCTGTGTTAAATATATCATGACAGCTGGGCGTCTCAATGGCCCTACTGTTTTACACATTCTCCTGCAGCTTCCAGAGTTCAGTGGACTGAAACCTCAATCATAAAATAAACAGTAATGCTGTTAATGTTATTGAGCCTCCATCTTTCCAGGGAACATAAAGAGACTCTTCGCTGAAGAGGGAGAACATCTGCTGGCCTAAAATGACACCCTGGTGGGCCGTGCCTCATTGTTGACATTGTAAACTGACGGCTTAATAGCGTGCATAAATGGAAATTAAGACTCGGGAGAAACTGGCAAAAGGCTATTACTAAATCATTGAATAATCCTGGTGAATTTTTAGTTGACATTTCTTTAGGTGAGCGCAGTGCCTTAAAGGTACAATATGTAAGATTTTCGTAATAAAATATCCAAAAACTACTTGCACAGTGTTATATATTTTATGCAGTTGTGTATTTGTTATTCCATATTTATGTTATTCGCATATCCTCAGTTTCCGCTTGTAGAAACTATGGCAACACACAGACACAAATGCTCAAATTTAGATCTGCTCAGTGTTGCGCCATGATTTTATATGCGTTTTTACAGTGTTGCATATTATAACCAATCACACACGAGTCTGTTGAGCTTATGAATGCAATGGCCAATCAGAGGCGTTCAGATGAGTTTTTGTTCAGTGCACGGCGCTCGCTGACTGAATTCAGCTCTCACACGAACTCTCTCATCATAAACAACAAAGTGCAGATGTACTTATGATGTAAGAGATTCATTCATAAAAAAGTGTATAGACAGCTTTACTGATTATAAGGGGAGTTTTTTGAGTGCTTAAACTCGCGCTAGACTTAAGTCAGTCATAATGTTCTTTGACAGTGTAAATGTTCTTTGCTTGCATTCTCTGTAAAATGTATTTGCTGTTTGAATAATTGTGGAAGGTAGGTATTCATAATTCATTACCTCATCCGTGAGCGTGAACATCCTCCTTCATAGCGTCATCAAACTTCACCTTTGTAATTGTTTTGAAAATGCGACCTCTAATGGCGAAAACGTACATACTATACCTTTAACTGTACCGGTTTATAAATGGGACTTTGAGCCTAGTGGTAGTGATGTGACTGAATTTAGATGATTTCTCAAGTGAATTTGTGCATTACTGACAGGTGGCACACAATGCAGTGTTTTGAAGATGAATCAGAAATGAGAAGAAATAAAATTTGCCATAATTTATTAACATGGATGGCGTTAATCATAGATTGTTTTTGGACATGTAACATGACAATAACATAATTTTTTTTTTTTTTTTTAACATCTATACCATGGTACTCTTTAAGAAGTATAAAGCTAATACCTAACACATGAATATGCTAATCATTCAGTATCATATTATATGTAAAATAACTTTTTTTAGTGTTATATTATTAATATTACATTTATTTTATGTATATATATATATATATATATATATTTTTTTTTTTTTTTTCAGGTTTAATATAAATTTTAGCTCAAATTTTTGTAATTTTGCTGTTTGTGTAATTTTTATTAGTTTTAAATATCTAGCTTTAAATAATTTTTATTTCAGTTTTAGTGATTTTAGTAATTCGACTTTTTTAATTTCATTAAGTCTCCAAGGCAACATTTCTATGTTTAATTTCACAAAAAAAGCTAGCTGTCAAAGCAACATTTCTGATTTTCATTTAGTTTAACTTGATGTAGAAAATAACTAAAACTAAAATGAAAACTAATAAAATAAATAATAGAAACTATATGACACACTAATAAAAATTACAAAAACACAAAAATGATAAATCTTTAACTAAAATTAAAGCGAAAACAAAATATACAAATGAAAACCAATTAAAAATATGATATCTCAATTAGTGGTCGACCGATATATCGGCCGATATTTGGCATTTTTAAAATATCGGCATCCGCCGATAAGTTTTCCTGTTTGGCCGATGCATTAGAGGCGTTTATTTTGACGGCGCTGACAGCAGCAGCATTCTCACACATTCTCCCTCTTGTTCACCGTCGTCGTTAACAGTTCTGTCTAGTACGGATAGAAGTAATATATTATATATTATTATATATTATTATAGTATTTTAATTACTTTTTCTTATTTGTAAGTCGCTTTGGTTAAAAGCGTCTGCTAAATGACTAAAAGTAAAGTAAAAGTAAGTCTGTCTAATAATCAGATAGAGCTGTTAAACAAATGAATTAAAATCTATACAAAAAGTATTATAACGATTGCTTTTACATTATTAGTAATAGAAAGGCAAACATTATAATACCTTCTTGTTTGCTGTCAGCATTCAGCAAATACGCATTTATGTCATTTAAACAAATCTTTGAATGACTAATGAACATTTAATTTCACAAACCTTGCAAACTTAGTCGAATCCAGTTGTGAGATCTTGTGAAGTGTGCATTTGTATCCTGCATGATCGCGTGTTCTCTGTGTGACGGTCGATCCTTGCGAATTTAATACGGACAGGTGGAGAGTTCAGCTTGACTGGAGACACGCGATCGACAAACTTTAAACTTGTGATTTCAAATTATGCTGCGCTTTATGCATTTGTCCACTGCCATATTCATGTCATTTCCACTGTGTGCTGTATGTAAAATGAGTGTTAACTTGGCTTTATTTGAAAAAATATGATTCCCAAATCCCAATGCACACAAACTTCCTAGAGTGCCCTGTTGGTTACAGTGTTTACTTCCTTTTTTATTATAATAGAATACTTTGTCATCTAAAGTATAAGTATGTTTATTTAACACATTTAGTTTTTAATCCATTTTCAAATGATTTCAAATTTCTTAAACATTAATTAAAATTAAAAAAATGATATCGGCCATCGGCCACCGACCACCCTGCTTTCCAAGATATCGGCATCGGCTGTCAAAAAAAAAACAATATCGGTCGACCACTAATCTCAATGATATTAAAATAACACTGGATTTAGTTTTTATTTAACAATAACAGCCCTGAACATATAAGACAAATTATAAGTGTTTACAATTAATGCATATAATTAATATTCATATAGTTTCAAATTTTGATCTTTTTCAGCAACTTGGTATCAGACAACTCACATGTGGGATATCGACTACTTCCACCATGGAACCTGCCAGATCAGAAATGAGTATCCTTCCCAATGGGAAAGGTCATGACCTGGGAGAGGAAATGTGCATGCCGATGAAGACTATGATGGAGGAAGAACAGTAAGCACTTTTAAATATTCAATTTTATCTGTAAAAACTTCATAGATATGTGCCGTAAGATAAGTTAGTTGCATGTGTATCTACATAACGGGAAGTGTTTGCTTTGTCTTGTACCACCTGCATGAAGAACCAGGCCACTTTAAACAGTGGTTCTCAGCTGGTCTTGCTCCTTGATTATTAGCGTTGCGTTTTCCCTGCAATCAGTTTCACTGTGTCTCTGTGCTTCTGTACTGAGGTCTTTCTTTTGTATGCTCCTCAAATCATTTTTATCTTCTGGCATGGTGTGTTGTCTAAGTGCATGTTTACCCTCTTTTTCACTCCTGCTCGATGATGGACCTTCTCACACTCTCTATCAACCCTCAGAAACGGTACCCATCACGGCAGGTACGTCAATAACAGGAAACCAATGACTACTAGATGCATTTAGAGCAAATGAATCGATGCAGCTTGCAAGGTCATTGTCAGTTAAATGTCGACTGGCGTCCGTCCAACAGGTTTGATAATCCTGACAGCACACTTGCTGAGAACATTGAGTTCCTGCCCAACGGCGAGGGAAAGAAGCCACGTTTCACTGATGTAAGTATGTGCAGCATTTACCGTGAACTTTCAACCGAAAGCATATCACAGATAGAAACTGAATGATATTTGACTGTGTTGATGTTCTCGGTCAGCTGTTGTATTAGTTGCTCATCAGTTTCATTTCCTCTCTTAGTTTGAGGGGAAGACCTCTTTTGGCATGTCAGTCTTCAATTTGGGCAATGCCATTATGGGCAGTGGGATATTGGGATTGGCCTACGCTATGGCCAATACTGGCATACTGCTTTTCTTGTAAGTGAAATCCTTTCATTACTCTCTTAATGGCAGATTGGCAGAAAAAAGTCATTGATTGTTGGACGTTTGTTCTGATGTGAAGCATCCGTGAATCATCTCAGAGTCATGCAAATGAACCTGTCACGTCCAGCCCTCAATGAATCAGCGTTTTCACTTCATCTGAATGTCAAGCATTTGGCACACCATTGGCTGTCTAATTGCCATGGTACTTAAAGTATTGTTTTACATGTGTTATTTTTCCAGACATGCTCTTGAATAATTGAGTGTTCCCTTTTGGAGGCTGTTAATGTTGATTGTGTACCAGAAAGGGTTTTCTATGGAAAAGATCTGCATCGTTGTGTTATATTAAATGACACACAAACCACCATTTGGCCACCACTTTTTTAAAATCAGCCCATGTTTCAGGGGTTTTAAAGTACTGCAAATGAAAAATGATGACAAATGTATGTCAGTGAAATTATTTAGATGATTAAATTAAAGTTATTATGTTTTATCGGTCTGGTTTTTAAAGTGGTTTAAAGAAAGGGATAATGTGCAGTTAGCCAGTCATTTATTATATTTATTTTGCAACAATAAATAATTATTTGCATATTTACATTATATAAAACGAATATTTTTTAATATATATCTAATATCTAATATTTAATTATATATATATATATATTTATATATATATATATATATATATATATATATATATATATATATATATATATGTGCACACCCCTCACA